GTCCAACACTCTGTCAATGTAGATGAATCAAAGACGTAAAGAAAAAAAATCCACTTCGTCTCCAGACGCAGTTTTTGAGTCAACGGGGTTCTATCCGTTTCTTAAAACTTTCACTGTTCTCAAAATTTGTCTTTGATCACAACAGATATTCCGTCAACAAAACTGAACCAATTTTACTGCAAGCCATGTTTGAGGATATCCAAAATCTAAACTCGTCATCGTCAGTGTTACTAAGTTTTGTACACGAATCTGCAATCTTCACGAATCTGTAATCTTATCTGTTCCTAAAACATACGTTCATGTCGACATGCATTTAAAATGCGTTGTAAAGGTTTGTGTACGAATTGAAATGCGACTCTTAAATTCGATTTGACGATGGTTGTATATTCCGTGTCCTGCAGAATATCGAACACCTGAAAAAAGTTAAATTTAAATATTCTGATACAATTGATTAGGTAATGAATAAATGCTTAGCAAGACATAAAAAAAATTCAACAAACCAAGCTTGGAAAGACATTTAGCTAAAAATAGTTCTTCTGAGTAAATGTTCGCTATAAACACATTTTAAACAATTTGAACAAACCAATTAAGCTTGGAAAGACATTTATCTTAAATAGTTCATCGGAGTAAATGTTCGCTATAAACACATTTTAAACAGCCATTTCTCTGCTTATACCAAATAATGTTTAATAACCTCAAGTTGATATAAGTTCCCTAAAAATACGTTTAAGAAATCTTATATTTCAGATATAGATGTTTTTTTATACAGAATATCGACATGTTACTTCTACGTTATACTTTCTGCATACAGTAGTTTCATATTTTCTTTTGCTGTACCTTTCATGTTCCTCAAACATAGAATAATGCCAAAAGGAAAATATTGAGTACCACAGCATGTCAAACATCATCAACATTGTTGTATAATATCCCATTCAGTGGGGGCATGCAATGATTACATTCGTTTATAGGCACACGACATATCTATTTACACATCAGCATTCTGAGATGCATCATGGTTTACATGAGCAACAGGTTTTTTTTCAGTTGGCAATTAAAATACGACGATTTACACTCTACATCAAATTAAGGTGACAAAACGCCTTGCAATCTTAAATTACAAAAGACTTTCTAAAGAAGCCACGAGGAGATAATTTTGGGCATCTCGGGTCACAAAAGTAAACTTTCTATAACTGCACCTCCTTGGATTTGTCGTTAAGACAGCGGCGTTATTAGCGTGAACAAGGAGCACGGACTCCCGCCCGAGACTTGAGCCCTCGTTGTGCCCCCACTCAGATTTAGAGGAGGGAAAGAGCAGTTTTTGAAACCCATCGAGTGCCCACTCCTAGAAACGAGGAACCCCAAATGATACCCCTGTGGGAATTAGAAACTACATGTAGTTACACCACTGTCAATGTGTCTAGTAATCCTGTTCCTCGTCGTCTAAAGCCTGAGATAACTCCGCTTTCAGGTTGATCTCATGCCAGTTTTCATTCGGGTCTGAAACAAACTGTGATGTCGAGGGTCCGGGTACAGTGTGATTGGCGTAGACGTTGGGCTCGGTGGCCGGTATGGCAAGGTTGTCCTCAACGTCGCCTTCGAAGGTAAACATCCGCTGGTCTCCCGAAGGGGAGCTCGGCAGCGCATCCAGGTTGTTGTGATCCATTTCCATGTCTCTGTTGGGGTCGTCCTCCTTCGGGGATGATCCGAAGATGCCGGTGAAGTTGAGGAAGTACGTCTTGGGTCTGAAACATCGCTTGGGGTTGCAGCCGCAGCACAAGGCGAATAATAGGAGGAGGAGCAGGAAGAACCCGCCTGCCCCGATGCCGGCGATCGCTGCGATGGGTAACCCTGTGGTGGTTGGGCCCTGAGGGGACGGGGTGATAGGCGGAGGCGATGGGTTTGTAGGCGGAAGGCTTGTGGTGATGGTTCCAGGAACTTCAAGAGGAGTGACCGTCAGTGGTCCGATTCTACAGGAGAGTGCCTTCCTTATGTCTCCTAAAAGAGAATAGCATAAAAAGGTGCGATCATCATCGGCTGTTGCATTTTTTTCCAAACTCGATCCCGGTTCAGTGTCATTAAAATAGGTCGCTGTCCAGTTCAAGTTATCACCAGCACTGCCGGGGAGTCTAACTTCAGGAGTCCTTTCATCAATGATTGTCTTACAAGACAGTCTGTCTCCCTCTGTCACCTCTGCAGGGCCGTCAGGGAAGCAAACTGGAAACTCGTTCGGATAATTGACAAAGACTTCTTTATCTCCATTACTGAGAATGTGTCCAGTGCTTGTTTCGACAACGACGCAGAGGTAGGATCCCTCATCTGACTCCTCAAGACGGTGGATTGACATATTGCTAGAAAAAGGAATAGGTGACTCTTGCTGCACCGGGAGGAATGCAATTCTCTCGTTAGCAGTGATATCAACATAAGTCCCATTAATTCTCTTTTGCCAGACCCAACTATGAAGAGACGGGTCGTAACCAGTAGCCGCGCACTGCAGTGTAACATTTTCTCCATTTATTGGTTCCTTAGGATAAATATCCACAAAAAATACAGTAAGCCCACAGCAAAAGGTTGCAGACAGGTGCATCCAAATAAACAAGTAGACAACAGTTTTCAAAGACATTTTCATGTTGAATGTGAAATAATCTCAGCAAGTCAAATCCTTTAGTCCACAGAGCCGCACGTAAAAGTTTAGATTAAGGTTGTCATCTGCAGATCTGTTATCCAACAAGCGCTCCACATCTATTTTGAATGATACAGTAGATCAAGTCCTCGACGAGCGTGTGCAAGTTAGGAGCCACGCAAACAATATAAACAGTTGAGAGTGGTCCTCCAAAAATGTTGTCTAAACTAATAAAGTAGGAGTAGCTAGGGTACTGATTCCAAACTATAACATGTTCATATGGCTGAACTCCGGAGATGACTGAAACGTTTAACTAGTGAAGGAGCTAGCTGTACATCCCACACAAGTTTCATCCACATTAATCACAGTTATGATATACTTCCTGGTAGAGTTATTGCAGTAGCAATATTTGCTGTTGCAAAATGTCAGCTTGGGTTTCGTGACTGTGATAACAATACAAAGATAGGTGAAGTTCAGACAAATCCAGCTTGCAGTATTTATAAATTATGTTCCTGCGTAGTCAGTTCCGTATATCTTTCAGCTATTCAAATGAACTGACCCGTATGAACGTGACCTCTACAAAGCTGACATAATGGCCCGGGTGTAGACGACCTCACTAAACGTGGTGAGAATGCGGGGAAATTCTCCCCTTGTCCCCAAACTGTTGATTCAGACGTGAAACTGTTTCGTTAATCAGTTCGAATGCATTTCATAATATAAAATTCGATAGTGTCAAAATTAGTCTACTTTGGAGCTGAAACCAACAACAAACTATAGGTGTGCTCGTCGCCTAATAATGAGGTTTTTGGAGGGTCATTTGGGTCATAATAAGGGGTTCGCCTGTCCCGACGATACCTTAGGGCCCTGGTAGGCGCTAATCTGTCCAAAATATTGGGTCGGAAATACAAGCGTTGCAAAGTGGGTATCAAAACACACACATAATCGACCACAGATCTTAGAAACGAATGTGATCAACGCACGTACTTTCTGCGCGAACGAGTCATGCGCACTCCGGGTTATTATCTTTACAATAAGTATCCAATGAGAACTCAAAGAAATTAGAGGTGGAAAGGACGGTGGGAACGAAAATCTGGAGTCGGAGATAACTTGAACTTTAATGAAATCGATATCAACGTTGGGGGCGCATGTTCTGTATAGCCCTCTGCTTCTTTTTGTGTGGTCATTTACTGGTTCCCGGCGGTGACGTTTTCACGCCTGACGTTTTCACGTGTACTTTGCTTTTGAATTATACAGGTTCTGCAAGTTTTCCTCCCTGAAACCAAAAGAATTATCGTCCAAATGTTCATATTGACCCATAAGCCCGTCTGAAGAGGAAGAATACGAAAAAGCGAGCAGTTACTATAGATATGAACCAGGATCACTACTTTAATACATGTATACATACAAACATGCACGTATCAACTGAGTTATTTTAACAAGTTGTTACAGTTTGTTTATTAGAATGATACATTGTTTTCGTAGAGGTGAAGTCAGAGCCATAGAGTTGCGAAATGAGGGTCGCAATGTTTGGAAACAGAATGGCGGATTTCAATAGTCGCACGCTTCACTGTACACATCATGAACGGCCATTATGGTTCAACAGTCTGAAGTTGTCGCAACTCTCTCTATACGGCTCTGGGTGAAGACATTTTCTAGCGCCCTCTGTAATAAATCTCTATACGAAGTATAAATATATTCCCATCTGTAACATAAGTACCAGCGCCCTCTATAGGCCATAGATGAAAATTAGTGTTCGACTTCAGCGAGAGGTTAATATTTTACCAATGTATCAAATGTTACACCAGGCTGGTTTAAAAGCCAAATGACTACCCTCCCCCTATCGTTCTTACTACTTTAGGTTTTTGGTATAGATATCAGTTTAGACGCATGGTTGAATTAGCACCTGGCTCGAGGAAACGACAGAGTCCCCCATAAGCCTATATAGCCTTTTTAAAAACAATTTATAGCTTTAAACTAATGGAAAAGAACAGATTTTTCTCTGCAGAGTACACGGATTGATTACACAGCTTTTGCCGGTCATTACCTAAATACTTGACAGCTTCTTACGAAACCTCTTAATATTTCAAGACAATATTGTTAAAAGATAAAGCTAACTTTCCCAAAAGTAATTGTTATTAATTTACTTTCAAATGTATGCTTCTGCACAATAGATGAATCATAACATATCGTTTGTCAAAAATATTTACACAATCACGGCAATTTTTCGAGCATGAAACCGCATTTTTTCTCCGTTATATATTTCAAAACGAATCAAATGACTGACCAATGGTTACAAACACAGTTGTCGTTTGGATGTGTCAATCTTTTGTCATTCCCAGATCCTCAGAGGAATGTTTGGACACAAGAATAATTCATCTCGATGTTTTGACACCAAAACTAACGAAGTGTATTGTACTTTTCTTCGATAAAATTCCAAAATTCAGGGTAGCAAAAAATTTAGTCAGCTATGTACAAAAGCAAAGTTAGTTCATCAAAAGGTCAGAGTTTGAGTTCTGTGTACACAGCAGTGTGAGGTTTTTCTTGCAACTCCATATAGCCATCAGTTGGTTTACCAGTAGCTGAATTGTCCTCGTGGGCACTTTGAGCAGGCCAATCATAGCTTGGGTCTTCTACTGTCTCCACGGCGTCTTGAGCTGATTGTCTTGATCTACCAGATGGGGGAACCGCGGAATCCATAGGAAGTTCAACAGATCCATCATGGGCCCTAGGATGTTCGGTACTCGAACCAGCATTTACATCAACGTTCATATACTCAATGTGTTCAGGCTGGTCTGACGTAGGTCCAGCTATCGATGATTCGTAGGGACGTCGATCCATTTGAAGATTCGATGGATCATTGGGATCACTCTGTCGGTTAGGCGTCTTGGATCGGCTGCAACATCCAATCAACTGACGGAGACGCTTCGGGTCATAGCGAACACAGTGTAAAATATTGTAAATGCTGACTACTATGACGAGGACAGCGAAGACAATTCCAGCAATAACCACAGTACGTACCACCGATGGGTTGGAAGAAGGTGGACAATCATTGCAGTTGAACGGTAGGCTCGTTGTTAACTTGTCTCTATTGACAGTTGGAGTTAAGACGCCTCTGGTTTTTTCACTGGTGGTATACATTATTTTGGCTCCAGGAACCTCAAGAGGAGTTACCGTCAGTGGTCCGATTCTACAGGAGAGTGCCTTCCTTATGTCTGCTACAAGTGAATAGCAGTAAAAGATATTAAAGACTTAAAGTCCATTATCTGCAATTGTCGTATTCTTTTCCAACTCTGATCCCGCCTACATCTATTTTGAATGGAGCAGTGTATCAAGTCCGAGACGAAGAAATTACAGTTAGAGAACAACACATCCAGTGCAATAGTGGAGACTGGTTCCCAAACACTTAAATTATTGTCTCAACTGATCATCTAGTAAGTGTTGTTATCAGGTAATGATTCCCACAAAAACCTGATAAAAAGTCGAACCTCCAGTTATGACGGAAGTATTTAACTGACAAGCTGTAGATCTCACTCCAACAATTTTCATCAACACATTTAAAGTTATGATACACAGTACTTCCTGGTAGAGCTTTATCCGGTTCGTTAGTAAAAACGTCATACACGCGTGCACACTACTGATTACTAGCACCCATTGGCTGCAAACGCTCGAGCTGCGTTAACTTCCGGTTCAAATCGTGCAGAGAGTGCTGGAGGTGACGTCACACTAACGAACCGGATATTGCAACAGCAATTGCAAAACGTCAGCCTGGGTTTCGTGACTGTGATAACAATAGAAAGAATAGGTGAAGTTCAGACAAATCCAGCTTGCAGTATGTTTGTATTCTGTTTCTGCACAGTCAGTTCTGCAGGTCTTTCAGCTATTCAAATGAACTGACCCGTATGAACGTGAACTCTACAACTGACACAATAGACCGGGTGTAAATGTCTCCACTATACGTGGTGAGAAGGCGGGAAAATTCTCCCCATGTTCCAAAAGTGCTGATTTAAACGTGAAACAGATTTGCCCAAAATTTGGAAGTGTCAAAAGTCAAACAAAAAAAACGGTGATAATCAGTGGCGTATCCAGAGAGGGTGGGTGGGGGGGGGGGGGGGGGGGGGGGGGGGGAGGAGGTTTTTTTGACAATTTTTTTTCAGCAATAATTTCAATATATGGTTAGAGAGTTCTGACATGAACCCCACAAAAGAAATACGCTCAAAACCATTAAAATGTGCCGTGAAAATGGGCATATAATTTGCAGTGTTCAAAATAATGGTCATTTTTAAAGAGCACCCCCATTTAAAAGATAGGTACCAGCCCCCCCCCCCCCTTTTGGGTTTTTCGAAACCTTTGCTTCGGCTTCGGCTTCGTCTCCTACCTCTGAATCACTGAGAGGCAAACTAACCGAAATTATTCCAACTTTTGTCTCCATCAACCGATTGAATGTTCCTGAAGCATAACAGGCACCAAAATGTAGCTGGAGTCCCCGAAGTCGGGGCCTAAAATGTCATTAAGCCGAAACTGAAGCCAAAGCCAGTCGTTTCAAAAACGCTGCAAGTGTCCGGAAAAAAAAAACAACAACAACAACAACCATGTCTATATTACGGCGCAGATGTGCGGTTTGCCCCCCCTATCAAAAGCTGGATACGCTACTGGCAATTATAATAAAGTTCGCCTATTTTGTTATTTATAATCTCTCAGCATAACGAGCCAACAAGTTCAACATCCGAAGAATGCCAAATCAGTCTTCTTTGAAGCTGAAACGAACATGACACTGACTTTCTCCCTCCCCTAAAAAGAAGGGTTTGGGATGTTCGTTGGGCAACATTATCGGGGTTCGCTCATTCCATCGACTACCCAAGGGCCCTGGGTGGTGGGCGCTCATCTGTCAAAACATTGTAAAGGAAATACAAGCGTTGCACTTTGCTATCACGAGTTGCTAACACAGGTCTTTTTTCCTTCGATTACAAAACTCGTCTACACCGAAAATTAGTAGATGCCGAAAATGAGTAGAAAACTTACCCCATGAACCTTCTGAAGTGAAAGGATATGAAAAAGTGAAATATGAACCAGGATCGCTACTTACATGCACCTTATGGACTGAGCTACTGTAATACGCTGTCAGAGTTGGTTCTTTTGAATATTTTGTTTTTCGTAGATGAATGGTAGTGAAATTATTTAGCGCCCTCTGTTATGAATCTCCATGTAATTATATACCTTTCTGGGTGCAAACCTGTGAATAGGCCAAATATCCGTCCGCCGAGCTCATGAATAAAAGTTATAAGTATTCTATATTAGAGAGTTTTGAGAGCCATAAAATTGGGGAATTGAAGAGATATGGTAATGAACCTCTGGCCCGGACTTGGGGCTTCGAATTCTGAGCATTTTGGATGCTATTGGGCTCGAAAGTGGCGCTATTTTGCCATGTTGTGGAGGGATCGTTTTTCAAGATGGCTACTTTTCCACTTTGGGGAAATAGGGATCGTCTTCTTTGGGCGAGAATATCTCGAAAAGTCAATGGTCAACCCACCAACAAATGAAAAGAAAATGAAAGATGACACATTGATCATCATTTTTCTGTGCAGCTTGAATACCTGCGAGAGTTTTGAGTATTTTTAAAACAACTTTTGAAGCCGTGGTTGGCTACATTATTTTCCAAACAAAGTCCTCATAACACCCTCATTTCACAAGAAAAAGGCAGCAATAATAGTTTAGGAATAATTGTGTAGCGTTTGTTGATTATTTTCAACAATGAAATAATAATTTTTGTAATCATTAATAACTATGTTCATTTTGTAGTGTTTGGCCTTCCATAGTTCGACAACCCGTGGCTGGCAAAAATTAATGTGCCAACCACGCATCGGCTATAGACAGGTCTATAAAGACATTTCCTGCGGTAAAATACGTACCAGCGCCCTCTATAGGCCCTGGCTGGAAATTAGAGTTCCAGTTCCGTGAGAGGTTAGTATTTTTATATGCATAAAATATAACCCAAGGCTGGTTTGGAAGCGAGATTACTCCCCCCCTTTAGTTTGGACTACTTTAGGTCATATATATCTTTAATGTTTTAACGCATGGTCACTGGTTTCCAGGAGACGACAGAGTCCCCCATAGCCTAAAAAACTCTTGTATTTTAAAACTAATTTAAATGAACAGATTTTTCTCTTCAGAGTACTTGAATTTATTAAACTGTCTTTGCCAGCAGCTAAATAACCTCGGCCGTATACCAAATTTGAGACAAGTAGCTGTTAACCACTTCTATACCCTCCCTTTTTGAGTTAAGTTGGATTTTCCCCGAGAATCAATAGCTTTCTTCAATCCATCAATGTTCTAGAACATTCCAAATCCTATCAACAAAATCCCCATTGCCGAAATAATGACCAACAATTTTTGCCGAGGCTACGCATGGTAATAAGTCAACAGGGCCAACAGTTTTGTTCCTCCATTTTCCAGTAAATGTAGTAAGCAGTAAGCTTTCATCGGGAGACAACAACTTATCAATAACATTGAGGAAAAACTCAATGTTTGTATGGTCGACCGGAGCGGCCGTTTACAAGTTAACAAGGGTGGGTACCACCCATCGAGTAAACAGAAGTCTGACACAATTATTTCCTCTTAATGGCAAAAATGAAGATTACAATCATTAGTTGAGATATAAAGGCTATAGAGATGGCAAAACCTAAAAAGCATGGCCATATACATCCTATCACAAGTCCAAATTGACAATTGTTTTTGCTTTATTTTCAATTCGCTTTATATATATTACCAGAGTGACTCATTGTCACTCCATTTCTTCTGGTGTACACATCCTTAGATAATTAATACAATCTTCATTATGACACCAAATGCAGAGTAAACGGTGTGTTTCACAGAATATTTTAGCTGGGTCAAAAAAGTAAGCACATGTATACCGGGACCAAAAGACGTGCAATGATTTGTAACTATATTTCTGCATGTCATAACATTTCGCAATACAAAATCGGTTTTACGTCCTTATTTGCTTTTCGGCTTCCATGGACAAATGAAATCTAGTGCGTCACAGCAAAATAAAACTTCACAATAGTAGCATTTTTGTCCTGATTTGAGAGCTCAGTTCACCTCTGACTCCTTTTCGTCTGTGAGAGCAGACACCCTTTGAAATAGATTTTCATGAAGCAATGTTAATTTTTTTTTTTTTACATTTGGATAACAGTCTTTTGTAAACTGCAGAGGCCTGAAAATGTGGGGTTCTTTGCTTCTCTTTGCTAGTCTTGTGCTTTTCTCTGTAAGGAACAAAGGAAATTACAAAGTTCTCGAAATAAGTAAGCATTTTATTATTCATGCAATGCTTAATATAATCAATGGAGAAACTCATTTTAGTTTAAGCGTCAATCACAAAACGGTAATTCCGTTTACTCACTTTTGCTTTTTTCGAGCACGTAACAATACAATATGCTTATGCTTACCCCAAAATTTGCTTTTTACAAGCATGTAACAGTCAATATGCTTATCACAAATTCACAATTAGTAGCTTATTCGTATATTATATCTTTCGTGTATCATAAATCCTTTTGTTTAAATAATCAAAAATATTTACAAAATATCATATTTGTTGGCTATATCATATTCATCAGAATAATCTTCAACTGTGCCTTGACAATATTTGTCGGACAACACAATTTACACAAAACACTAATAAATCTAAAATACCCTCCGAATAAGAAACAATGTCCATAAAATTATATTTTGCCTTATAAACATTGGCGTTTATTAATAAAAGTCATCGTTTTTGCCAAACCAGCTTTGCAGTTTGAAGTCTTATCAATGTTGATGAAGGTTTTATTTTACAAACCAACCCCAACGGCCAAGCACTAAAAATCTCATTTTAATCCAGTGCAGTCAATAATCATGGTAAAATAATCTTTCTAGCAAATAAAGGTTACAAACTTTCCTTTTCACTTGGGTCTTACACCTCCACGTGTACAAACAATGTAAGCATTTAAAGTCAATTCTTAGCAGATGGTCTCGGACCTCATTTGTTTTGAGCCTATATTCTCCAGTATTAAATCTCACTCAATTATTGCTTAAATTATCACCCACGATAGCATTATTCTATAGTCTTCATATCCACAACACTAGACCCTATTGTTGTAGTTTGCAGAACAATGTACTATCAATAATTTAACCGACTGAACAATTAATTAAAACTGATTTTAAAGACAACATAAACTCATTTAACTCTTTTAGCATAATTTGTCTTCTTTCAAAGCTTTGCAGTTTGAAGTCTAATCAATTTCGATGAAGGTTTGGAAACCAAATGAGTACACTCCCCCTCGTTTTCACTACTGTAGGTTTATATTGGCCTAGATATCAGTTTGACGTATATAGTTAAATTAGCACCTGTTTCGAGGAAACGACGGAGTCCCCATGAGCCTGTATCATTTTTAACAACCATTTGTAGCTTTACACCAATGTTAAAAAAACAGGTTTTTCTCTTCAGAGTACACCAATTTGTTAAACAGCTTTTTCCAGCTGCTGAATACTTGATAGCTTCTTACGAGA